CTACTGTGTCATTCATCTTCTTCACCAAGAGGGATAATGCCTACGCAATAAATTTAAATTTATTATTTTTAAATTTTTAGTTAAAACTTAAGATGACTCTCAGATTCTTGTTAAGACACAGGTCTTTTTTTTTTCTGTCTTGAAAATAGGAATTTTACTCATTTCTCTCTACTAAATGATATCACTCAAATTATTTGGAAGAAATCTTCACATAACAAATAAGTGAGGGTATCAGACACACATCCCTATAGGATGCTTTTTTAAAATTAAGTTTTAAATTAATTACAGTTTATTCACTTTGTATCCCAGCTATAACCTTCTCCATCTTCCCCTCCTAATCCCCCTCCCTCCCTCATCTCCTCTCATAGCCCTCCCCAATTCCACTGATAGGGGAGTTCCTCCTCTCTTTCCCTCTGACCCTAGTCTATCAGGTCTCATCAGGACTGGCTGCATTGTCTTCCTCTGTGGCCTGGTAAAGCTGATCCTCCCTCAAGGGGAAGTGATCAAAGAGCCAGCCACTGAGTTCATGTAGGAGACAGCCCCTGTTCCCATTACTAGGGAAACCACTTGGACACTGAGCTGTCATGGGCTACATCTGTGATGGGGTTCTAGGTTATCTCCATGCATGGTCCTTGTTTGGAGTATCAGTCTCAGAAAAGACCCCTGTGTCCAGATTTTTTTGTTCTGTTGTTCTCCTTGTGGAGCTCCTGTCCCCTCCAGGTCTTTCTATCTTCCCCTTCTTTCATAAGATTCCCTGCACTCTGCCTAAAGTTTGGCTATGAGCCTGAGCAACTGCTTTGATACCCTACTGGGTAGAGTCTTTCAGAGGTCCTCTATGGTAGGATCCTGTACTGTTCCCTGTTTTCTTCCCCTTCTGATGTCCATCTAGTTTGCCTTTCTGAATGAGGATTGATCATCTTACCCAGGGTCCTCCTTCTTGCTTTGTTCCTTTAGGTGTACAGATTTTAGTATGTTTATCCTATATTATAGGTCTAATATCCACTTAGAAGTGAGTATATACCAAGTGTGTCTTTCTGTGTCTGGGATACCTCACTCAGGGTGATTTTTTTCTAGTTGCCAACATTTGCTTGCAAATTTCATGATTTCCTTTTATTTTAATGAATTTTTATTTTTTATATTAGTTACAGTTTATTAACTTTGTATTCCAGCTGTAGCCCCTTCCCTCATTCCCTCCCAATCCAATCCTCCCTCCCTCATCTCTCCCTGCCTCTCTCTAAGTCCACTGAGAGGGGAGACGCTTCTCCCCTTCCATCTGACCTTAGCTCATCAGGTCTCTTCAGGATTGGCTGCACTGTCCTCCTCTGTGGCCTAGCAAGGCTGCTCTTCCCTTTGAGGGGGTGGTCAAAGAGCAAGCCATGGAGTTCATGTCAGAAACGGTCCCTGTTCCCCTTACTAGGGTACCCACTTGGATACTGAGCTGCCATGGGCTACATTTTTACAGGGGTTCTAGGTTATATCCATGCATGGTCCTTAGTTGGAAAAGTCTCAGAAAAGACCCCTGTGCCCAGATATTTTTGGTCCTTGTGGAGCTCCTGTCCTCTCCAGGTCATACTAACTCCCCCTTCTTTCATATGATTCCCTGTACTTTGCCCAAAGATTGGTTATAAGCCTCAGCATCAGCTTTGATACACTGATAGGTAGAGTCTTTCAGAGGCCCTCTGTGGTAGGCTGCTGTCCTGTTACTTGTTTCCTCCTACTTCCAATGTCCATCCCATTTGTCTTTCTAAGTGAGGATTGATCATCTTAGCTAGGGTCCTCTTTCTTGTTTATCTTCTTTAGATGTACAGATTTTAGTATGTTTATCCTATCTTATAGGTCTTATAAGGTACCCACTTATAAGTGGGTATATACTGTGTGTGTCTTTCTGCTTCTGGGATACCTCACTCAGGATGATATTTTCTAGATCCCACCATTTCCCTGCAGATTTCATGATTTCCTTGTTTTTAATTGCTGCATAGTATTCCACTGTGTAAAAGTACCACAATTTCTAAGTACCCTGAGATTTCACCTTACACCCATCAGAATGGCTAAGATCAAAAACTCAAGTGACAACACAGGCTGGAGAGGATGTGGAGAAAGGGGAACCCTCCTCCATTGCTGGTGGGAATGTAAACTTGTACAACCACTTTGGAAATCAATCTGGTGCTTTCTCAGACAATTAGGAATAGTGCTTCCTTAAGATCCCGCTATACCACCTCTAGGCATATATCCAAAATATGCTCAAGTACACAACAAGGACATTTGCTCAACCATGTTCATAGCAGCTTTATTCATAATAGCCAGAACCTGGATTTCCTTGTTTTAAGTTGCTGGGTACTATTGCATTGTATAAATGTGCCAAAATTTCTGTATCCATTCCTCAGCTGAGTGACATCTGGGTTGTTTACGTATTCTGGCTTTTATGAATAAAGCTGCTAAGAACATGGTTGAGCAAATGTCCTTGTTTTGGATATTTTGGATATATGCCTAGGAGTGCTATAGTAAGGTAAAATCTCAGGGTAGTGTTGATTTGCATTTCCCTGAATACTAGGGACATTGAACATTCCTTTAAATGTTTCTCTGCCATTAGATATTCTTGTGTTGAGAATTCTCTGTTTAACTCCGTACCCCATTTTTTAGTTGGATTACTTGATTTGTTGCTTTTTAACTTCTCTAGTTCTTTATATATTCCGGATATTAGCCCTCTGTCAGATATAGGGTTGGTGAAGGTCCTTTCCCAGTCTGTAGGCTGTTGTTTGTTCTGATAACAGTGTCCTTTGCTTTACAGAAGCTTTTCAGTTTCATGAGGTCCCATTTATTGATTGTTGATCTTAGAGCCTGTGTTGTTGGTGTTCTGTTCAGGAAGTTGTCTCCTGTGCCAATGACTTCTAGGATATTCCCCACTTTTTCTTCTAACAGATTTAGTGTGTCTGGTTTTATTTTGAAGTCTTTCATCCACTTGGACTTTAGTTTTGTGCAGGGTGATGAATATGGATCTATTTGCATTTTTCTGCATGTAGACATCTAGCTAGACCAGCAACATTTGTTGAAGATCTTTTTTCCATCATATGGTTTTTGGCTTCTTTGTCAAAAATCAAGTATCCCTAGGTGTGTGGGTTTATTTCTGGGTCTTCTATTCAATTCCATTGATTCACCATTCTGTTTCTAAGATGCTTTTTAAAACCTTATTTAAACATTTGTGTGTGATCTAACAATACAACAACATAGAACTTGGAAGCAACCAGTACTTTCACTGGAGCAAAGAAGTTAAAATTTAAATCATGTGTAAAACACATTTTGTAGGTGTTCCAAAACCAATGTATTGAAGACAACGAAGAAGAAAATTCACAGGGGAGGTCCTTTAAAGACTGCCTGGCCAGGCTCTTCGGCTGGATAATGGGGATTAGCCACTGCGAACACCTCCAATTAAGGCAATAAACGTATGTGCGCATTAGCGCACTGTTGTTGGAGCTGTGTTGTGGACTAGAACAAATACAGAGGACTGGGTCCTTTAGTGCAGGTTTACAGAACAGCCACCAAAGCCTGTACCCCACCACTCAGCTACTTATTTTCCTCAACGGAACTGTAGCATTCCTTAGTGAAACAGACATTGATAATTTTTAAAATTTATTTCCTGAAATCTTTTGATTCTGGATACTTTTTCTGGAATGTTCTTTTGCATTTTCTGATTTTTTTTTAAAGGGGTTTGCTGGGAGGAAGATCTTGTGAAATAGCAGCCATCACCAAATTTTGGTGTCATGAATAAATGAGTCTTCACTTAAGTGACATTCTTAATATGTTACATGGTATAATCTGTATAAATAGAGAAATAAGTAATATAATAGAGATGTCCGTGTAGAACTTGGAGCATTAAAATTGGACTTGAATTGGGCTGGAGAGGTGGCTCAGCAGTTGTGAGCAGTTTCTGCTCTGGTGGAGCACCTATGCTCAGCTTCCAGCTCCTATGTCTAGCAGCTCAGACATGTAGAACATCAAAATTGATCTTGAGCTTTCTAAGTTTTAGCATCTGAAACAACTTTTAATACACAAAAATGGCTGTTTCCCTGGGGACACCTGCACTCAAGGACCAGCCTCAGTATTTAGTCTGCTAGTGTGCCGTGGACTAGAAACAACTCTTGCAAAGTCTATTCTTCAACTTCTTGGCCTTAATCTCCATCATGGTCACACCCGAGGCTCTGTCTTGTGTGACTCTGAACACGACTACTCTGGATGAATTGTGCCTTTTTTGTACTGTTGCTGTGATACAATGAGATTGCCCTTCAAGCTCCATCTCAACATAATCCCACATGCATCAGGATTAATCATATGCTGCCAAATTTTTACTACAGTATCTCAGCATCTGTGACATAACATATGACATGCCTGAATCTACTTCAAATTTAGCCATTCTAAAAAGTTTATTTCTCTGTAATTGATTGCTTTTTAAGAGAAGAAGAAGCAAAAATGACAGGGCTGTAAAGAATCCTGTGGTCAAAACAAATAACAACAACAGCAAATCCAGACTGCAATGTAGAGTCTGAATTCATGCCTCAAAACGATGCATTTAAGTATATCTACGTTAACTAACGAATGCTATTTCAGTCTGTGCGTTTGCCTACCTCACTCTAAACCATCTGTCTCACAGGGAGCAATTAGTCTGAAACTACAGCGTGTACATTGAAATTCCATTAACAGTGAAGAGAATATTAATGTATCTGCCTTTGCTGTTTTTATCTACCCAAATTTTAGTGTTAATTTTGAATAAAGCAGGTATAACATTTCAATCTATTCAGTTAATTAAGTATGCTGTATAAAAGATATAATTAGCTAACATTATGTAACAGAACAGAGAAGTGAGTTTAACAGCACTGTGTGTTTTGGCAACAAACATGTGGGGCGCAGTTCTACATTAAGTTCATAGTTGTTCATCAAAATGCTAAGTACTTCATTGAATCAGTTTCCCCAGGACTCTGACTTTGGAATCCCCTTTTCTTTTGCAGAACCACATCACTGCCTTTGCGGAAGTCACATGATACAGAAGCAGATGGTTTTTCCCTGCACTGGACGTCATCCCTTTTTACCATCCATTCATAACAAAGTTTATTTGATTACACAGGAAATTTATAAAAACATGTCTGAGACTTTTTATAATTTTAAAACCCAATAGCACCCTCTCTGAGACCCTTTCTCCTCCCCCCCAATAGACTGTGAGCTCCTCAGGAGCAGGGCCATGGCTTTCCCTCCTGTATTCCCGCCACCCAGCACAAAGCCCAGCACAAATGTGTGGGTGTTCAGAGGAAACATAATGATAAAACGAACAAGTTAAATCTTAAATAAAATGGTCGCTTTAGTTTCTCAAAAAAAAAAAAAAATCTCTGTGACTATGTGGAAAAAAATCCTCCACATGGGTTATATTTGTATAAAGGAAACCCTCTATTTTGGGCTAGTTAAGCCTTTTTAATTTTTCATATGTCTATTCAGCAGTACAGCATATTTAATTTAAAGTGGATTTTGAAAGTCATGGGGGCTTTTTATTATGCAGCATGACATTATTTCCATTCTAACAGATGTCAGTGTGTGAAATCACTTTACTTTTAGAAAGTATGTCCTATACTAAATTGTTTGCTCATTATATTATGCTATATTTCACCTAAAACACCATTCATACTACACATTCTAAGACTGGTGCTTCTGCTTTTAAAGGGGAAAATGCCAATTTTTACTGTCACTGAGTAATATATCATAATTAAAATTATTTATTTGGACTTTTTCTTTGACAGCTGTGATTTAATGTTTGAGTTGCAGTTTTTGAATGCAGGCAATATTTAGAATAGATTAAGATAAATCCAGCCATGATACCTTTTTATTGAGTATCTTTCCATCATTAACAGTAACTCAAGAATGGCTATCGTCCATTCTTAAGCTTTTGTTACTGGCCAAGAATTCAAATAATTTAAATGGGAAAGGGCCACACCTTAGAAAATATGATGAAGATTCTAGAAATATAATTAATGTATTTTTGTAATTGTCTAATACATTAATTAAAGTGTATTTCTATTTATTTTATCATTTAACCCTCACAGCAATCATGTATAAATATAGAAAGATGGCTTTATTTCCACATGAGAAAAATAAAGCCAAGACTGATAACACACCCAGTCTCATACCACTAGTCAAAGCGAGAGTTAAATATAAAATGCAGAAATACCCCGAAACTTGCATTTTTCTCAAATATGCCACAGATGCCTCAACTTTCATGACACTGAGGCCATTATGAGGCCATTAGAGTCCTGAGCAACTACCTATGTTTTAAAAAGGAAGAAAAATAAAGAAAATAAGAGAAATGGCAAAATGTGGTTACAGAAGGTCTGCAGTATTTTAAATGTTTACCTTATATGAATGAGCATAAAGCTATAAATACAGAGCTATCTAGAATTATATTCATAATTCTATTTAATAACAATGAAGTTCCAGTGTCTAGATGTGAGGTTCTTCGTAAAAGAGTTGTCCAAATGGAGTGTATCAGCTCTGCGCCTCAGCTGTCATTCAAGAAATAGGCTGAGAGACAGACTTTACAGAAATCAAGGGACTAAAAGCAAAAAGAATCTCCACAGAATGAGAAAGATGAAGCAATGAGTCACTTTGCTGCTTCTAAAGCTAACCCACAATACTTTGACTTAAATGTGCAGAAACTGATTTTTAAAAGTCTTTCCAGTCTTGAGAGTTGTAAGTAAACACTTAACTTACTCTCTTAATTTCAACAGAAATCAGCAAATAATTAAAATCAAAGACTTGTCCATTACTTCCAAATCAATTTTAATTGCCCAATTCAATCTTTCGGGAGTCAAAAAACTTTCACTAAAAGCCAAATTAAAAAAAAATGCCCATTTTTTTTTTTTTTTTTTTTTTTTTTTTTTTTTTTTTTTTTTTTTTTTATTTTTTCTTTTTAGTTACATTTTCTTAACTCCGTGTCCCAGCTGTATCCCGCTCCCTCATTCCCTCCCCAACCCCACATTCCCTCCCTGGTCTCCTCCCTGCCCCTTTCCAAGTCCCCTGATAGGGGAGGACCTCCTCCCATTTCATCTGTCCCTGTTTTATCAGGTATCTTCAGGGCTGGCTGCAAAGTCCTCCTCTGTGGCCTAACAGACTGCTCCTCCCCTGGGGGGAGGTGTCAAACAGCCTGCCCTTAAGATCCTGTTAGAAATAGTCCGTGTCCCCCTTACTTTGGAAAACTACTTGGTTACTGAGCTACCACAGGCCACATCCGAGCAGAAGTTCTAGGTTATATCCATAGATGGTCCTTGGTTGAGTTTCAGTCTCAGAAAAGACCCTGTGCCCAGATATATTTGGTCCTTGTAGAGCTCCTATCCTTTCCATATCATACTAACTTCCCTTCTTTCATATGATTCCCTGCACTCTGCCGAGGGTTTGGTTATGAGTCTTAGTGTCTGCTTTGAAACACTGCTAGGTAGAGTCTTTCAGATGCCTTTTGTGGTAATTGCAGATCTCCATAGCAATGTAATTCTTTTGAAAAGTTAGAGCAAATTTTGCATGTCTTGCCCATCTTTAAAGACATTGCTTTAGAAAGCATTAGCAATGGTCAATTTGCTTCTTAGGACTGAAATAATGTCAAGCAAAAACAGGGTAGCTAGTCAGGCTTGCACAATTCCTTAATATTACTGGTTCTCTATCCACTTTAGAAGGACCCAAGCAGGATTTCCCCCCTTGGAGGCCTTAACATTGTATAAAAATGTCCAAGTCAGTGATGATGTTTTTCATCTTTCTTAACCTGGTCAGAATAAAATAGTTATAAATTAAAGAACAAACCAGGATAAGAATGAAATCACTTCTACTATTATATTTAAGCATCATGAACCCAAGGTTGTGCAATGAAAAGTCCAGGAAAAATATGCGAATAAACCAAGCCCAGCAGAGAATACAACCATGATGCTATTACTGAGAATAATGGAAAATACAATTAAGAATATGTCAAAAGAATGGCTGGAGCTGGAGTTCAGTGGCACACCAGTTGGCTAGCATACACAGGGCCTGGGTTCAATCCCCAGACCTGTAAAAGAAAGCACTAATAACAAGATATAAATATGTACATACATAGTCTAGTAAAAGCAGGCAATCACACACCTTTCTGATAGAGAATTTCATTTTTATTCTACTTCCTTGGGGCCCAGGTCAGTGTAAATCGTTCAAGCTGAAAACTTCAGTAGTGTCTGTTTGCATGGCAGAAATTCTGCATAAGTCTTATCTGATACCTAAGGTAATTTAAAAGGCTCTTTTATGTTAAAAGAGAGGAGAACCTTCTTTGACAGAGTTTGTCTATTCAACTCCTAACTGGGCCTCTCTTTTTCTCAGGATCTATCCTAGCCAAATATCTCGGTTACATTCATTATAGTTTCCTTTGTGAAAGAACAGTGGGGGAAGAGATAATTCTCTGCTGTGTATTGTATTTTTCAAATAAAAATTTAAAAATTAAATTAAAAAAATCATTTTTTTTTCTCACGGATTGCTGTTTATTGGGTTCGAGAAATAAAGAATGGTTGCTAATGTGCATGGAGTTAAGAATTCTCATACTAGCTGGAGGGTGCCTTAAATTTCCCCAAACTGGCCATTTTAGACAGCTTCGAGATCAGATAAATGGAACCAACATCCTATGAACCATCCTGGGATCTGGGAAGACTCCATAGTTACAAATCATAAACTTCTGGAAACAAATTTGGACACCAAGCAGGTGTGTAATTTGTAGCCAATCTTCTTCCCGTGAATGATGAGGAACTATGGAGCAAATGTAAACCTTCACCCTGGCCCTATGGACATAATCTATCAAACGCTGGTTGTGTGCTCTGAAAGGTTACCCTCAGTATGTGACAATTGATTCTATTTGTTCACTGAAAACAAAAACCTCACAATTTGCTCTAGGGTTGCCTTTTTTTTTTTTTTTTTTTTTAATAAATGCTATGACTTACAATTTGTTAAAAATAAAAAATAAAAATGAAACAAATCAAGGCTTTTTATTAGTTGAAAACTGGTAACAGGTTTTTTTATTGAGAAGAAAAATGAAATATATTTTAACTGAATTATTGTTAAAGAAAGAAAATCTCTAAGCTGCACAATAACTTTTCATTTTAGTCATGTTTCCTTGGAGATAGAGCTCCTTGTGAACAAAGTCCACCCTTCCTTCATCCAGCGACACTTTACTGAATGTTTCTGTGCATCAAGTGATTCACACGTTCTGACTAAATGATAGTTGAAAAGGCACACATAGCCTTTCTAATTTGCATGAAAGTTATCAGACTATACACTGTTCCTGGATGGTGTGAGAAACTGATGGCTTCTCCACATAGTCCATAAGCTTCATGGGGGAAGTGAGGAGCAGTATGGCTTGAGGGAGCTGAAGCTTGCCAAGGGCACCACCACTTCCCCACCTCACTGAACAGACCACAATGAGTCCCAGGACCAGTTTTAAGAAGGGTAAGTTATAATGGTATATGAAGTAGAAGTTTCTGGTTTCTTTGAAGACTCAGTTCTCTCATGTGATATTTTGCAGCAAGCTGGGCATATGAAGTTTTGCTGGAAGTTGGTTTGTGTGAGGGCATGTGATGTTTTGCTGTTAGCTCTCCCATATGAGAGGCACGACTTTGGCCTTCTGAGAATACCCCAGGGTGGACTTTGAGGAGAGGAGGTATACAGAGGCCCATGAACAGTGAGGCTTCACTTTTTGGATTGACATCACTGCACTGATCTTCGTTCTTTGACACTTGACTTCACAGAGAGAAACGTTCCAGAGAACTTTTTGGGGCTGTCCAACTGAATATTGCAGCTTTCCCTGACTTGTCAGGCTAATTCTTGCTGCTGCTTGGTGTTGGCCTTTGGACCGGACTCCTGTGGTATCCTGACCACTGAATGTGGTAATCCCATAAAGACCCATCAACCCTAATCAGCAGGAAGTAGATAAAAGATTTTCCTACTAATCTCCTACCTAAGGGGAGGGGCTTAAAAGGGAGGTAAAGGTGTGTAAGAACTCTAAATAAAGTAGGTTTTGTGAAAAATCTAAGCCTACAGATGGATGAGAAATTGAGGTTTTGTTTTCCATCAAATTTGCCACAAACTTCTATTGCTTTTAAATGTTCAATTACTGTCCTCCTGGTTTGGAATCCTTACCTCTTTAGAGGACTCTGTTAACCACAAAGACTCCACAAATGACAATGCAAAAAACAAAAAGCCATGATAACTGAATTAGAATAACCACTCCACCAGGTACCAGTTGCATCTACAAATGGTCAGGTCAGACTCCTTAGGGAACATTTTCTAGTACTTAACATGTCAGAAAACTTAATGAGACTTTTATTTAGGGGTAAACATTTTACATCATCCCTTGAAAGTAACAATAAAGGAAGAACACATACTTTCATATGCAAACACACAGAAGTGTAAGACGATGGTATGAAGGTTGCAGATACAACTCAGTGGTAAGTTGTATGCTTACCTATATATATGTATATATACATATATAATGTATATATATGTATATATAATGTATACACATATATATAGTCAATGCATGTATACATATACATATACATACATACATACATGCGTGCATACATATAATATCTAGATTGTATGTGAGTGTAAAGCACGATTTGTACAGTTCTGGGTTTCAGAAATGTCACTTACTATAGTTTAAACAGTGTCACTTGTGTAACAATCATATTCAAATTTTGAGTGACTACGTAAATCAGTAATTGTATTAATTGTACCCTTGAGG